GAGTGGGGAAAGGCTGTTTTCTTAATCATGTTTATACAAAAAAATCAGAAATCTTTATGAAAAAATACTAATCAACCTGACCATATAAAATAACTACAATTTCCTATTTAATATCAAAACTTTATAAATATAGTAAAAGAATAAATGGTATAGACCAAGGAATGATATAATTCACATAAAAAGTGCTTTTATTAGCAGGCATTTATAAAAAGAACACATCAAAGAAAAAATGGCCAAATGATGTGGGCAGGTAAATCACACCAGTAAAAATACAAATTGCTAAAAAAAAAAAAAAAAAAAAAAAGGCATTATTAGTCATTTTCTTGCTTGCAAACAACAGAAACTGACACGGGTTAATTTCAGCAGTAAAGGAATTTATAGGAAGCCTATCAGACTGGCTCCCACAATAAACAGAGCCAGAGAAACAGGCTTGGGCAGAGACCCAGGGAGGCAGACACCAGTAAGAACTTGCCACTTGAGCAGCCAGCGGGACCCTCTCTGTCATTATCGCTGGCTCTGCCACCACTTCATCTCCGCTGAATATAGAGCCACTAGATTCACTAATTTGCTGTGTTGTCTCCAACTAACCTTGCATCAATACTTCCCGAGCCAAGGCCCAGTTGGGAGCATCTGATTGCCCTTGCTTAGGTCACCTTCCTGGGCTCTGGCATCCTGGGGTTGGGAGGGAAATACCTGCTCCCCAGCTCCTGCCCATTTTTCACTGTGGGAGCTTGAGCTGTCCTGTGTAATTCGGGATCCTTTCCAAATAGGAAGTCTGTTTAGATGCTAGATAGCTAAAGAAACAGCACATGTTGTTCAACTTCATTCCTACAAATACGAGCCCATAACATGACATCTTCTGTTCATTGAATTTGCCAGTGTAAAAAAGCCTGAAAAACTCAACACTGTCTTGGGATTGGAAAATGTGTGCCCCCCTCCCCTTCACTGTTGGCAGGATAAAGCCTTTCTGGAGGTCAGCTTGACAACAGGTGTCAAAATATGAAATGTGCATAACCTTTAATCCAAGGTGTCAGTTTAAGGAGATAGTCGCAGGGATGAACCAAGTTTGGATCGCGATGATTATTCACCGCATTGCTCCTTCTAATTTGTGTTTCCCTGGCGCAGGGAGGGTAAAGGATGGGTACAAAGAGGGATGATTGAAATTTACTACAGAATCTTGTTTGGGGTGGGTCTTAAAAAAAAGACATCTAGGCACTCCAATTAGGAATTCTTTTCCAACCCTGTTCTGGCCAAGCTGGGGTAGGTTGGCTTTGGGGCTCCGTGGGGACCAATAAATGTGGAATGGTGGGAGGGGCCAGATTGGGAAGGGGGTCATGTGTCTCACTAAGGAGGTCCTATGTTGTTTAGATACATTGCTGCCAAATAATCACTATGCTACAATGATGGCTACCTTACTAGGTATCCAATAATGAATAAGATGAGCCCCTGCTGGATTGAAGCCTACACTTCAGGGCAGGTGACAGGTTGTAAGCTGACTTCTACTATGGTAACGTTAGCGTCATGACTGAGAGGTGCCAAGAAGGGACAAGGAGAGGTTAGCTAAGTGAAGAGGCTCAAGGAAAGGAGTTTGGCACAGAGGAAACAGCTTGAGCAAAGGCCCACATGTCTAGATCAAATTGCCTGAGGGCGTGGAGGGAAGACCAAGACTTTCCATAGCGCCAGGGGCTGGAGGGCAACTCTAGTGGGAGATCAGAGAGGACTGTATTTTAGTGGACTCAGTGGAAACCACCCTCAGGATTACAGCTAAACCACACTACTACATTTTGGATTTCAGCTATATGCTGGTGGGAAAAGGTAGAAGTGGAAACCAGGTGAGGGGAGGGGGCAATGTTCAATGGGGGTGAGCCTGAGCCCCTGTCTGGTGGTGCTAAGCTAAGGAAGTCAGATCTGGTAATGGGCTCAGCCCTAATTTTTTTGAAGTACACGATGAACTGGGATTCCATGAGCCTCGCTTAGACTGGAAGCAGGGCCTGGGCATTGGGTCATATTCAGGCTAAGGCTCTAGTATAAAGAGAAGCAGCATGGTAAACTTCCCCTGGTCTTCAACTTTCAGTTTAATAAATTAAAAAAAGTAGGATTTGTTAGCATCTGCTGTGTGCCAGCCATGTAAGACAGTACAAGGAAAGAATGATGTTCTGGAAAGCAGTCAGCAGGACAGTCACGAGGACAAGTCCTGTTGGTAGATAAGATCGAAGATTATTTACAGCAGCTAGGACAAAACCTGATCTTGACCAAATCAGGATCTCTCTTGGGTTAAATACCTAGCCCTAATTAAAGTGGCTCAGTGTCTTAGTTTGGGTTGTCCTTAGACCAGACCCTGAGACAACGACCCAGGTGCCGGTAGTACATTTGGGAGGTGATCCCAGAAGCAGGAGTGAGGGAGTAGAGTAGAAAGAGGGAGACAGGGAAGTAGAGAAATCCAGAAAAGGGTGCATTATTGAACTGGTTATACAGGGCAAATGGGCCTGCATTCCTCTGGGGACTCTCTGAAGAACCCCATTATGTACACCTTAGAGTTGTCTCCCTAAAGGATGAGAGGCCTGGGAGTTTATCCAGTGGCTGGTATTTCCCACTGGTTGAAGGTTGCCCCTGTTGGGGGAGAAGGAGTTGTTAATTCAAACTCCCCTCTGATGAGAGTTCTTTGGCTTTGGAGAAAACCCTCAGGCAGAAAAGCAAAAGGGGTATTTGAAGTGGGGGACAGTCACAACGCAGTGGCTTACACAGTTTATAATGGTGCCTGAAATTGGAGATGGGCTCTGGGCATAAAACGTGGGGAGTGAAAAGCTTTTGCTATGTTTAATTTCCTTCTAAAGCAGTTTATTCATTCAACCAAACATTTATTAGAGACATGGTCAATGCTGGGCATCTATGGTCAGCAAAACAGATCTAGTCTCTGCCTTAAGAGCTGGTAGTCTTTTGCGGATTTTGAGCAAGCAGGATGGTGCTATGAACATCTAGGTCCAAAACGGAGAAGTGCTAAAAAAAAAAAAAAAAAAAAAAAAGCAGCTTGGGAAAACTAATTGAGGGCTAACTTCTTTTTTTTTTAAAAGATTTTATTTATCCATTTGACAGAGAGAGACACAGCGAGAGAGGGAACACAAGCAGGGGGAGTGGGAGAGGGAGAAGCAGGCTCCCCGCAGAGCAGGGAGCCCTATGTGGGACTCAATCCCAGGACCCTGGGATCATGACCTGAGCCGAAGGCAGTCGCTCAACCGACTGAGCCACCCAGGCGGAGGGCTAACTTCTAAGTCCATTTGACATTTAGGGAGACCACAGCCCCAAGACCCTTCCCACCACCTAAAAACAAGCAAGCAAGCAATCTTTTAACATAATGGCTGGGTATTGTGATAAAAGCTTTGTCAAAGTGCTTGAAATTCCATTAAAAGCTATTCCTTTCTTTTGTCCTTCCCTCACCCATGATTTTCATATTTGAAAAAAACTCAAACATGTCTGCCAAGGTTGAGGGCCATTGCATTCACACTAAAGTATGAATGATCAAATTGCTTTCTTCCTGGTGTCTAGATGAGCTCAAGATGAAGTGAAGAATGGATATTTTGACTAAGAGGTGGGAATGTAGGTGATTTGGAGGCTAGTGCAGAGCACCCTGGGTGGGGGGTGGTCACCATAAAGGCCATGTTTACTCGGGGTGGAAGGCTCCGGCAAAAACCATTTACTCTGAAATGTGGTGTAAGGTGGGGTTTATGTTTTAAAAAGGCGAAGGGCTCTCCCTTCCCTGATTTCTCCTTTATGCAGTAACCAGGACTCAGGCTAAAGGTCAGCAAAGGACAATCTACAGAGAGGAGGTCACAAACCAGTTGATTTTGAGCTCAAGGGAGCCCAAAGATGTACTTTTTCCCCCTGCACTATTTTTTAGTTGAACCAACATTTAAAAACAGGATTCCCAACTTCTCTTTAAAAAGTCAGATGATCTGAGCCCTCATTTTTGCATGGGAACAATTGGATCAGCTGAGTGGCAGCCACCCCCTTTAGAAAGATGTTGATTTGCAGTTTGCCGTGGTCCCCACCATTCCTTATATTCTCCCCAACAGTCAAATCACTTTAAGTATTAATTGGTCAATATGATGATTGAAACACCATGATTCTTTACTCACTGATATGACCTATCTTGGTCCCTGTGATATTTGTGGATCTGTGACCTTTCGTTTGGAGATCAAGTCTTGGGGCTTTGAACCAAACTTGGTTTTGAAATGGATACATTGTACCAATCTCAAAGGCACTGAACTGAAAATTAAGGGAAATATTGCATGCTTAGCACAATGCTTGAAACATAGCAGCTATTAACAGCATCCGCGAGTGGGAAATGCAAGAGGGCAGGCAAAAACCGTGTTAATTTCATGTTTTGTCATATTCCCAGAGCCTAGCAGTGCCTGGCATACAGGAGTAACTATTTGTTGAATGAATGAATGATGGTAGAGCTCAGCGGGGATTTAAAGGTAGGCCTGCAAAGGAAGGTAATTCTGATTATACCGTTTCACTGCAAGCCCAAGGTGCCACCTGGAAGACAAGCCTGCCAGGACGTGCCAGACTCTGTGATGGCGTTCCGGTATGCACGCAGGCAGTCGGGTCCCTCAGGAGCCTGGCAGGGCTGGCTCGCTCAGGACTGGTCAGGCCCATGTCTATTATTTCTCCCAGGGTCTGGTGAGGGGCGGTAACCTGATCTCCGCACTTTCCCAAGGCCTCCGCCTTCAGATCAGAAGACCGAGACCCACGCCTGGGGTCCATCCCTGGGCACGAGCCCAGCGCTGTCCGCCGCGCCAGGACCGTGCCCACACCAGACATGGCCTCTCTCGGACTTCACAAAGCGGGACCGCCCCGGAGCCGCGAGTCATCTGGTCTGGCTGGAGGGGCACCTCCATTCCCACAGTCAACATGGCAGCCGCCACGGCTTCAGCGCCGGGCGGGCTGCGCCGAGAGGCGCGTCACGTGAGCGGCCCAGCTGGGCGGACCGCGCGCGCGCCCGCCCGCCCCGCCGGCAGCCGCTCGCTCACTAGCTCGCTCGGCGGCGCTCTGAGGTGTGTGGGGCGTCGAGCCCCCCAGCCCCGTGAGGCGCTGCGCGGCGCGGCGGGATGCGGCGGCGGCCGTGGCGGGGCCGCGGGCCGGGCGGGCGGGCTCGGTGATGAGCGTCGGCAGCCGCCGCCATGTCCAAGGTAACGGCGCCGGGGCCCGGGCCGCAGCCAGTGGCGGCGGCGGGCGGGAAGGAGAAGCGCTCCTTCAGCAAGCGGCTGTTCCGGAGCGGCCGCGCGGGCGGCGGCGGCGGCGCTGGGGGCCCCGGGGGGCCCGGGCCGGCCGCGCCCGCCTCGCCCTCGTCGGCGCGCTCGGTGGGCAGCTTCATGAGCCGCGTTCTCAAGACGCTGTCCACGCTCTCGCACCTTAGCTCCGAGGGCGCCGCCCCGGACCGCGGCGGCCTCCGCAGCTGCTTCCCACCCGGGCCGGCCGCCGCGCCCACGCCGCCGCCGCCGTGCCCGCCGCCGCCCGCCTCGCCCGCGCCGCCCGCCTCCGCCGCCGAACCGGTGCCCGGGGTGGCGGGGCTCCGGAACCACGGCAACACGTGCTTCATGAACGCCACGCTGCAGTGTCTCAGCAACACCGAGCTCTTCGCCGAGTACCTGGCGCTCGGCCAGTACCGGGCGGGGCGACCCGAGCCCTCGCCCGACCCCGAGCAGCCTGTGGGCCGCGGCACGCAGGGCCAGGGCGAGGTCACCGAGCAGCTGGCGCACCTGGTGCGGGCCCTCTGGACCCTGGAGTACACCCCGCAGCACAGCCGCGACTTCAAGGTGAGCCCGGCCGCGTCCCCACCCCCAGGAGGGGCCCTGCACCCCGCGTCCCTGGGGCACCGTCTCCCAACGTCTTGCATTCCTCCTTTCCTGGCGGCGCGGCGGGCTAACCAGCGCCCGGATCTGAAGAGGTGTGGGCCCCGAGTCTAGGACCGATGCCACTGGTTGTAAGGGAGACGCACCCATTCATTCATCGTGTGTTTATTAAGGGCTTACTACGTACGTGGCCCTGTGATGGGCCCTGGAGGGCTATGGCAATGAAAAGACCGGCTGCCGTCATGGAACTCACATTCTTGGGGGTGGGAGTGTTGAGCCTGGCTTCAGATCCTCGTTTTGCCACTTACCAGCAGTGTGAACTCGGGCAGGTTACTGAAACTCTCTGTGACAGTTTTCTCATCTAGTACCTGCGTCATAGGTGGTTGTGAGCCGCAAACAGGTTGATCTGTTAGGTTGAACCCAATGAGGTCACCCATTTTTGACCGTTTTTGACTTACAGGTTGGCACTTTTAAAGCGTTCAACCTGATGTGTAAATCGCTTCCGTCGTACATAGTACCATGTGTATTTGCTGCGTTATTGTTTTTATTATTAAAGATTTCAGTAAAGTAAAAGGGTAATATCAGTGGTTCCAAGAAAGTAAAATCTGGTGATGTGATTGATGTGTTGGCAAGCTACTTTAAATGTGGGAGGGGGCAGGGTTAGGGTGACCTTTTGGAAGAGGTAACATTTGAACTGAGACTTGAGTAACTGTGGAGAACCAGCCTTGAGGAGGTCGGGGGGAATTGCTTCCCAGGTGTAAGGAAAGTGTGAAAGCGCGAGAGCCCAGTGCGCTTGAACAGTGTAGCTCTGGGATCCGCAAACTCTTTCTGTAAAGGGCCATATAGTAAATGGTCAAGATGCAAAACTGAGGCTATTATGTAGGTACTTCTATAACAAGAGAAAACAAATTTCCACAAATTTCTCATTGACTAAGATAAAAATATGAGTACAGTACTTTGTAATACAGGTCTCCTAATGAGAGGAATGGGATTCTTTTTTTGGAGGGGATAACATTGGAGTTGGAGTTCAAAATTAGTGTTCCCTGTCATCAGATTGATTACAAATATTTATCTCTACAAACCGTTCTTATGCTCACAGGCCATACAAAAACAGGCAGTGGGCTAGATAAGGCCCTTGGGTTCTTGTTTGCTGTCTGCTGGTGCCCTTGGAGCTCAGATGAGAGCCGCGTGGTGGGCTGGGCCAGATTGTGTAGGACCATTTAGGCTGCACTAGGGAAATGGGCTCTTTTTTTTTTTTTTTAAAGATTTTATTTATTTATTTGAGACAGAATGAGAGAGAGAGAGAGAGCACATGAGAGGGGGGAGGGTCAGAGGGAGAAGCAGGCTCCCCGCCGAGCAGGGAGCCCGATGCGGGACCCGATCCCGGGACTCCAGGATCATGACCTGAGCCGAAGGCAGTCGCTTAACCGACTGAGCCACCCAGGCGCCCTGGGAAATGGGCTCTTATTCTGAGCAAAAAAGAGGGAAGATGATTTGAGATTGTATGAGGGATACGTTGGGGTGGGACATGGATATGGTGTTAAATAGAATGTCCTGATTATGCCCAAGCACAGGTCTTAGCTTGATGGTAGCCTGACTTTAACACCTTCATGCTCACTCCCCCACCTTTCTTTTTCTTTTTTTAATAGAACAAGCTTTAAGTTTAGAGGCCTCGGCAGGTAACAGTAGCTAGGATTTAATAAGGTTGTGTTTTCATTGTCTTTGTTTTTACATTTGTCTTCTATTTGTGGCAAATGATACTGGCTTTCCATTGGTGCTGTAAAGTTTCTTTTAAAATTTATTTAAGTAAAAATAAATGGTTTTAGTAAAATGCAAAATGATAATCTGAGGATTCAGCACTTGGTTGAGGACCCACCTTTCGGGGAATAATACTGCCCAAGTGCACCTGTCCCCTTTTAATACATTTTATTTATATTTATTAATGTTCTGTTTTTCTCAAAAACAAAAAGTGATTGCTGTTTGATCTTGGAAATTTGAATGGAAATACTGGACTGGGATAGGGACTGGAAAAAAATGAGATCCATGTCAGAGATCTCAAAATAAGAAAGTAGGAGAGAATGGCAACCAACCAGCTACTGTAAGTCTTTTTCCTTCTCTTTTTTTCTCTTTGCTTATAGTTGCCTATCAATAGCCACAGCAATTGCAAACTTTTCAAAGTCAGAGCCCAGTGTTTCAAGTTTGGTTTTCTACTCTTTCCAAAATGTAAAAATCAATTTCTACAGCATTTTTGTATGTGAACATTTCCATTGCATTTAAAAGGTTTTTTTTTTTTTTAATCCATTAACAAGCTGTGAACAGAAATGGGTCAATAATTCTAGAAACGCAGAAGCTGATTTATAAGCATGGTTTGGCAAAGTTGAACAGATTCTTCGAGGTCTTATTTTAAAACATATAATCTTCTAGGGGCGCCTGGGTGGCTCAGTCGTTAGGCGCCTGCCTTCAGCTCAGATCATGATCCCAGGGGCCTAGGATCGAGCCCCACATCAGGCTCCCTGCTCCATGGGAAGCCTGCTTCTCTCCCACTCCCCCTTACTTGTGTTCCCTCTCTTGCTGTGTCTCTCTCTGTCAAATAAATAAATAAAATCTTAAAAAAAAAAATAAAACATATAACCTTCTCAACATTTAGTAGATTTCACATTGCATTCATTCGTTCGTTCACTTCCCATTTATTGAGGGTTTACTCCATCAGTTAGGAATGCATTCAGCACAAGAAAGAGAAAGCCCTAATGATGATGTATTAAGCAACAAAGATGTTGAATCGGCTCAAACAGTAAGTCTGGAGGTACATGTTCTAATGTGGTACAGTGGCTTGAAGGGCCCAACAGGGACTCAGACCATTTCTGTGTTTCCACTCTGTTATTCTTGGCTATTTTGTCCCTATTATGTCTTTTTATCCTTAATGTTTGTCAAGGCAGGAAGTCACTGGGAAAATAAAAGTTCTTCCAGAAGCGTCCCCTCAGCAGGCTTCTGCTGACATCTCATTGACTTACAACCATGTCAGTTGGCCACCTCTGGCTGCCATGGAGGCTGGAAGGTGGATGTTTGGGTTTCCCTTCCTAAAGGAGGGATTTGCCTCAGAGGCAGCCTGCCAAAGGTGAGGCACTTTGATTTTGGGAAGACACTGTACCTGCCTGTGAAGAACTGAGTCCAGTGAGACCTGGTACGTTCCCAAAGACATCACTTCTTACCGTTCAGTGTGCACATATTCACGTGGGCATCTTGTTACCGAACTACTTTGGATTTGGTGGAGCTGGGGTGGAGTCTGAGATTCTGCATTTCTATCAAGCTCCCAGGTGATGCTGATGCTGTAGGTCCAGGGAACACTCTTGCTCTAGGGAACAAGTAAAGCATCACAGCGCAGTGGTCTGCAGGATGAATAGAAATTAGCCAGGCAGAGAAGGGGTGGAGATGGCATGAAAGGGCATGTGGTTTGGGCGCCTGGGTGGCTCAGTTGGTTAAGCGACTGCCTTCGGCTCAGGTCATGGTCCCGGAGTCCTGGGATCAAGTCCCACATCGGGCTCCCGGCTCAGCGGGGAGCCTGCTTCTCCCTCTGACCCTCTCCCCTCTCATGCTGTTTCTCTCTCTCTCTCTCTCTCTCTCAAATAAATAAATAAATAAAATCTTAAAAAAAGAAAAAAAGGGCATGTGGTTTTGGGGGAACAGTGCGACATTTGGTGGCTGGTTACACCGTGGAGAATAATGGAGGTGCAGAAAGTTTGGAAGAAGTGTGTTGTAAGTGGATTGTGAATGGCTTTGTAGGCTGTGTTGGTTTGGACATTATACTATGGAAGCTGAGAATCCAGGGCTGATTCTTAAGCAGGGGAGTGACAGGATCAGATTTCTTCTTCTTTGTCTTCTTTTTTTTTTCTTTTTGCCTCTGAATTAGGTAAGTCTGGTGGCATTCTGGAGGATTACTTTTTTTCCCCAAAATGTTTTATTACAGCCACATTTGATGGGTATTATTTTGAGCCTAAAGAAAGTTGAGTTCAGCACCGAGGTGGATGTGAGCCATACCTGTTACCACGGCCCCTTGCCTGCCTGTGGCAGAAGTTGATGTTCCATGCAGATACTCTTTCCTTGAGCTTGCAGAATCTTGCTCAGTTCTGGGCTCCACGCAGCCACTACCAGTTGACTGGAGTTGGCAGAGAAGATAAAACCAATTTGCCATCTCGAGAGTTTGCCTTGAGGTCTCAAAAAGCACTTAGTGTGTCTTTGAGTGTGCTTTTATCGTCTTAAAACTTCCTTAAGTTACTAATGAGTTTCTTTGTAAGTTTTCCGATTAGAATTCTTTCTTGATTTCTAACCACATTGATTTATGTGAGCTTTAGGAACTTGGTAAACGGATTTTTGATTTTGGATGAGCTAGATGGTTGTTAAGGTAGGACTTTCATTTCCCAGAATGAAATGGATTGACTGGCCTAACCTTTGTATGCTTTGAGAAATTTCTCTAGCTGTCACTTCTCTTTTTAAGCAGGTATTTTTCTCCTCTTTGAGCAGGGTTCTCAGCTAGGGCTCTTTTGCCTGGTTCCTCAACCCCTTCATTCCTGGTGCATTTGGCCTGTCTGGAGACATACTTGGTTGCCACAACTGGGGTGGGGGTGCTACGGGCTCTGCTCCCCTCAGTGAGGGGTTATCCAGCCCAAAATGTCAGTAAGGCTAAGATTGAGAAACGTTCCATTGGAGGAATGTTTTGAGCCTCCTTAGGGTGTTTTTCTTACCAACCCAGCCTTTAGAAGGTTGCCTTGTTGCTTTTTCTCCTCTGTGTGTATGTGTTTGCAGCAGCACTAGGGTAAGATTTGGACTTGACTGGCAGCCCTTGGAGCACTGTCTTAGTAAAAACGCCTTTCATTCTGAAACCCAAATACTCAATATGCTGTTTTTAGAGGAAATGAATTTATTGTCTAACTAGAAGGATACTAGCACGCACACTTCCAGGTTCATAC